ACTTCAACTGTAACCTCCCCGCACCCTCTGCTAAGAGACAATTAATGGTCTGTCCTGTCTCTTATAACTTTTTAGAAAACGGGATATTCAAAATATATTGTTTCGGCGCCAACAACAATCGGAAACCGTGGTCAACTCGGTGGCAAACCGTTTTTTTGGTCGTCGTCACCCGATAGCAATATTATATTATAATTTATAAGAAATATAAAGTATATAAATATTACACACTATAAAATATCCGGTTTTTTTTTTATTTATTTAATTGTCATTTTCCGCTACCTAAATTCAATTTGATCGTACCTACCTACATTATTTTTTTTTTTTTACATACGGCCATCCTGTTTTCGTTACGGGTAAAACGCTACTGGTCGGACGCCATTAACACAAATATACACGGTGACGGTCGGGTGGACAGACAAGCATAATAATAATAATAATAATATGTACTTACACGTGCTTCTTGTAAGTAGGTACGCCAAGTAAAACAATAAACTAACTAGTTTGTGTCCGAGCCCCTATCCCGGATGGACAGTGTGTTTTATTTATAAAAAAAAAAAAAAAATATGGATCGTCCATTTATAATATTTATAAATGTCCATTTATATATATTTGGAAGTGTCACTAATGAGTGGTTTTATCATATATGCTTATTGTGCTCATTGTACAGATTGTATATTTCTGATGTAAAATAAAATTTTAAAAAATATATATATACATAACTTTGGCAACGATATAATATTATGTAATGTAGTGAGTGGGTTATAATAATTGTGTGTTTAAAACGACAATAATTACTAAAAAAATAAACCTATTTCAAAATGTTTCAACGGTCACGAAGAGGAACGGAAAGGGATATTTATCTATAAGGAACCAAAATCGATTTAAAAGTCATTTATGTCGACCAATTTGAAGGTAAATACGAGTTACAACGGACTTGGTGTTTTAGTCTTTTATTTTGACCAAAACTTGGCTCGTCCCGTTTTGCCCTTAAAGTGGAAAATCCCTCAAATCCGTCAGAACAAACGCTCAATAACTATAATCTATTATTTTTTATTAATTGCAATAATAATAATAAAAAAAATTTGATTTGTCAATAACAACGACATTACTATCATAAATTGTCACCTCTTCAATAAGCATAACTTGCGATATAGGGATGGTGAGTTCAATATATGTTATTTAGATTTAGTGAGTGTAAATATCAAATTAACTTTTTTTTTGCTTAGTGTCTTATACTAAGATAAAAATATAAATCTGACACACTCTTCAATGACGAAATCTACGTTGTCCCAAGTGCCTTTGAACATAATCGCAGTCGTTAAAATAGACAAGTTCGAATAGTATTTCTAAACCTTTCATGCACAGTAGGTATCCTTTCTGGTTTAATAAAACGTTGTGAATAATAATTACTAAATGTACATAAATCATATAATAACAGGTTTGTTGTTTTGATAGGAATAATTTTAGATAATTATTACCCGCGTTTAATATACCTACTGGGTCATTTTAATTATTACACCGGTATTCAAATCCACGGATATAAATTCTTCTTGCATTTTTTTTTTTAATGCACTTTACTTCGATATTAGGTATATATGATCTCTGGTTTGTCTTAAAATAAGTAGGTACACTGCTCGTGACGAATCCTTTCAAAGTATTCAGGCAGTGTAATTTGTATAACATTTTGTTTGTTTTATTTTGTATAAAACGATTAGAATGAATGTGACAAACGATAATAATATCATCTGGATTTATAATCGATGAGCGTCAAAGCGGTTTTTATACTGAAAAAAAAAATGAATTGATTATATAAGTACGTTTAGTAAATGGAATTTTGATTATGCGCAGAGCACTCGGCATGTATATTTTTTTGTCCGTTTAAAGATGTATTGTAGTTTGTGTATTTCCGATGGCTTGACATTATGGTATAATATTATGTACCACCTTGAGGTGTATTAATGAATTCAACATTCAGCGGACAGCGCCCACTTTATACAGTATTGGGTAACCGCGCGCATTGTGCTTATAGGGGTTGGACGTACATATTATATCTGATAAGTATTTCAGAAAACCACTTTAAGTGGAATGGAATGAATTATTTTGCGGGTGGAAACGCTTTTATTGGTATTTCTGGGGCCGCAAAGTGTGTGCCTGTATAATGTACTACATCTTGCCGATGTATATTATACTACGACCGACATACCTATACCTTCTGTTCTCGGCTCAACGCCCTTATTGTATACAAATAATAAACGGGCAGCTGATGGGTCGAAACCGATAATGTATATTTTATTTATTCAAACAGTGAGTAGTTTTTATGCATTTCCAAACGATCACATCTCTCTTAAAACGGCGTGACGCCGCAAAATCAACGCAATAGGTGTATATTATTTTGTTATTATGGTAAAGTTGAACAAATTATTATCCGGGAAAGAATAAACTACATACTTTGACTTCGACAATAATACTCTACTTCTCTTTCGGTTCCATTTAATACATTCCCATCGAATCAAGGATGCGACTCGCCATAATTATATTAGTCTGATTGGTAATAACGACCGTTGAATAGGCAATTTTACGCGGAATAATTATTATAGAATGTATACAAATATATAAACAGTCCTTGTGGTTTTAATCTTTAAACAACAACAGTCTTAAAAACTTTAATTTTTCTTTTCTCGTTTAGTAAAATTATCATTAAAACAATATAAATTATGCTTTGGATTAATTTGCCGGTAGAGTGTTGGGTATTTTTTTAAATGGAGTTTGAACCAAACCTATGCACATATTTTATTATCAAAAAAAAATAATTACATTGCGTTTTGTCTATGATTTTTTTTTTTATTGGTATTGCACATCTACATAACCTTTAGTAGAGGTCAACGATATTTATAATAAGTACTCGTAAGACATTGTATTATAATAGTACAGTGGGTAATCTGACCAATAGAATGAACACAAATTAAAATGTATATTCATTAATAGTATAACATCAATTTGGCAAATATTATAGTCGTTAACGCTTCAATAAGTTAAATTTATAACATACCTAATTCGAGTATACCAATTTACCATTTCTGTAATTGTAAATTTTATTAAACAAAAATAAATACTGTACATCATGAAATTGTAAAGACATTTTATTTGATGGATTGATTCGATTGACGACCAAACCCTTGGACATAGGTGAAGACTAAGTAGTTGGCACAGAGGGTTTTAATCCTCTCCCAAATATGAAAACAAGTCCCTCCAGTCAGTTTTCAGCTATACATTAACTTTTGTCGATTTTTAACATTACAAGGACAACCTAATGGAAAACAAAAATCAAGACACAAGTCCACCTACGATAAAAGTACACCCTTAGAGGAAGATATTGTGTCATTGTGTACAGGGTGTATGTGGTGTTAGTGTAACGCAGAAATTGACCAGAATAATAATATGGCAAATGGCTGTAGACTAGGTGCGTTGTAAAATTGTTATTAGTAGTTGCAAATTATATTATATATAGAAATTTATGGTTAATAAACGTTAACGTTACAATTTATTATGTATGTGTGTATATATATATATAGAGGTACACACACATACATATATATACAAATTTATATATTATTATTATCTTACAACTAGAACGCCTTTTGTTTTTTTCTTTTAAATCGTCATTAAAAAACCGTGAACACGATTAACCGCGTTTGGATTTACAAAAGACATATTTTTTCGGATCATAAATTACCAACACTCGGCGCGACCGTTTAGTTCTGGCTGTTATGTTATACATAAATGTGTATGTATATATATTTTTTTTACATAATACAAAAACATAAACCCACAATAAGCCCTTTATAGCCGACAAGAACGTAGAATAAAAGCGTTCCGTCGTTAATCGACGAGACTAACGCGTGAACAATATATAACACAACACATAATAATATTATAAAAAACAAAAACGTGGTTATTATCGCGTAGGTGAGTACCACATGTGCTTGTCGCCCCCAAACCGTAGTTTGTACACCGGCAATAGCCTTTAAAGTGTATAGGTACAATATTACCTTCCTCGGCCCGCAATTAGCGCCTAGCGCTACTAGTCGGTCCGTGGTCGTAGGGGACCCCCTTTGGGGAGAACCACAAAAGCCAAGGTACAATAATATATCCGTCGTTATCGACCAGAAACTCGTTAGAACTTTGGCGATTTTCAGATTAAATTCCTAGATATGATGGAAAAGTTAAGCTAAACACATCCGGGATTGAACACATATGCTTATAATGGATGGGCACGAACCAAGAATATAATTAGGTGTTTTATAAATATGTCCAGTATTCAAAATAGCATACAAATCTAAACCAGTTAACTGTTAAGCCAACAGAGTATATATAGCAGGACAAAAGAAAACTAAAATAGGTATCGTGCCTAACCTAACCTACCTAACGTTCTCAGATAAGAATCAAATGTTGATAACTTTCAAAAAAAAAATGTCCTATTTACATTGCATTTTTTGTTTACGGTTGCCACTGTCCATTTTTGTTGCAAACATTTTATTACTGTATGGACTTGGGATTTAATAATTATTCTTAATCAAATATTTGTTGTAACCATCGATTTATCTCAAGTATAATAAGAATTATTTTTTTGATTTAAATACAACAAGAAAAGTTAAGTCTAATTTCTATACAGCTCTGTAGGTATTTGTCTTATATATTTATTATAGTACTTCATGAACTGGGTAAACATAATTAAAACACTAGAACTTTGTTATTTGTGTAAAATGTTGACTGGAATAATACATAAATGCATGTTTTCACATTGAGTTTGTTGACACATCAGACTCGGAACTTTGTTTTATGTAATAAAAACTCATTTTTTACTATATGCGGGTTTTTTTTTTAATTTCTTAAAACAACAAAATAATATAGTTAAAATAGCGTAGGTATATAATATAATCATATAGTATAGTATTAATTTAATTTAATGTAATTACAAATTATTTTTATAGATACGATAACAAACGGCAATAGTTACATAATATATATATTATATATAGAAAAAAAAATCATATATCATACTTGTACGAGTATATACTTACATATGTGAGTAAACTCAATGTAGACTTACAAACTTATGTATGTATTAAATATGTATATAAGTATGCATAAAGTAGCCTTTGATCTACAATCGAAAAAACGATACACAAAAAATGTATACAGCTAAAAGTGAGTGTATAACCTACAGCTAGTCCGCAATGGCCGTTACGCTTCGTCCCTTCTCCTTTCAGCAAAGTTTAACGGTCCTACCATGGTTTCCAAGCCTGAAACAAACAAATACATAAACGTTAGATTTTTTTAACACTGGTAAAACAATGATCGCTAAAATAAAAGGCTTATAATCGTTAACATAACAATAACATAATCCGTCGAAATAAAACCAGAATAACAATCAGAGTTGTGCACATTTGTTTTCACAATTTATTCGAATAATTTTTCACTTGAATATGTTATCTGGGTTGTAAATAAAGATAGGTACATAGATATATCTAGACAACGTTTTGTCAATGCACAACTTTGCCGTTGGGCGTATAACCTCTCTACAAAATGTCGCATAATATATAATTTGGGTAATATTCTAAAAAACCTTGTGCACTTAGTACGCAAGTCTGGGTATAGTTTTGAAGGGCCAAAAGCCACAAAAACGCTGCCCTTTCCCAACTATTTAAGGATTATTTTCATTTTGTGTTTATTTTAAAAACGTCAACTAGATTAGTAGTTTTAGTCTCGGCGGTTGTATCTAAATTCCTTTCTACATAATAATAGAATATTTTTGAATATTGTATTAAACTGTTCAATAAAAATCAACGTTTTACGTTTGGGTTTTGTAAATGGTACCTATTTTTTTAATACTATTACCGCGCAATTATGCATGCGTGTAAACATGTATACATAAGAAGAAGAAGTAGTATATATATATATTATATTATGTATAGGTATATGTATATGTATATTATAAACACGACCGGGTTATTAAAAATGCATCTTGTGTGGATACGATGACGTATAAAACTCAAACCGCGCGCGCATTCCTTACTTTACAAATAAACCCATCGTATACAGTAATAATATCAGCTATAAACTATATAATAAACCAATAAGAATATTATTTATACGATGAGGAATGGGGATTAACTGTTTGGAACTGGAAAGATGTCATGTAGGTACATATTATTATTATTATTATATCCAAATAAGCCGTCGTCTCGCGTTAACGCAACACGCTCTACAGACGGATGTGTGCAGTAGGTACAACAGTTAGTAATATTTAGATTATAATTTTATATCCTTGTACGACTAGATGATTGCTGCGGCGAGGTCGTCTTTCGACGGAAACCGGCTTGTCTTAAATATTTTCAAAAAAAAAAAAAAGATTTAATATTTTTATTAATTCATCGTTCAATCCGGTCAATTTAGCAATTCGACATAAATTAATACGGATTGATTCCGTGCCTCCGTGTGCCATCCAGGTAATAGGTACCTGTTGAATACAATTATACTAGTGTTTTTCTTTCTCTTCTTAAGTGACAAAATAGTAAAAACAAAAATCGTTACAGTCTTAATACGACTGTTGGACGATGGTTGGCTTGGAGAAAAGTAATTTTCGCTTTTGACATATTCACAAATTCCCAAATATTACCTAAACGTCGTACGAAGTACCAATATTATATTGTTGTAAGTGTATATATTATAAATTATAACATTTTTTACACACAATTCACACGTCGAAATACTATAAAAAAATAAATAAAATGAATTGTTTAAAAATTACAAAACCCATTTCTCCAGGAAAGCCATTTAAGACGGTGTCGGCGGCAGTGCACTATTATTTACCGAAGACGTCACCGTAATGAGTTTCCACGGTAACGATAATAATAATAATATTCGAATAGCAATAACAATAACACGTCTTCTTCTTCTTTATCTTCTTCTACCATTTCTTCTTGGGTCGGCCTCGTCTTGCCGGTCGTTTAATGGGCAAACGTTTATCGCGTACACGTGTGGTGGTCGTAATTTACTTAGGGCGTGTAATAATAATAACAATATTCCATTTGGTTCTTGTTTTTTTTTTTGCCCCTCGGTCGACCAGGCAGACAGCTTGACGCTACGGCATTCCATTATAATATTATATGGACGAAGAACGACCCTGGTACAATATATATATATATTTATTTATATTATACATTTATATTGGTCTTGTAAACCGTGTCTTGTAGCTATCTGTCCGGTGCGGTGTAGCGACCGCCGCCGCGCCGCTGGCAACCGTCGGCTGTCACTTTTTTGTTTAAGCTAAAGAATCGTTTCGGGTCACCTTTGATCCTCCTCTTCCAGGTCCTTGTTACAAATCGTTTAAGCTCAAACGAACGTACACGGGACTACATAGGTTCGGCGAAAAAAAAAAGTGCCAGGACGACAATAGATAATATTTTTATAAGAGGTTCAACCCAGACGACTTGTGTTGTATGGTTAAAAAAAAAAAATAATCCTGTGTCGCGCAAACAATACCTACTTTTTAATTATCGAGTCATAACGTCGCCTACCTATAGATAAGACTAAAGATGACAGGTATTTTTGTTAAATACATATATAAAAGTAAATCGAATTTATCCAGTACGATTCGAACTAACGACTAAATTCAACAACTTGAGACTTAACTCGGAAAATGTATCCAGTTAATTAAAGGCTTCAATTTATTACAAAGATTATTAGCCAATTACAGATATTAAAGGTAGGTACTATTATAAGTCTTTAAGCTATATTATCAATTACATGTTTTCTTCTACATAATTAGGTTATTTTCATTAATAACCGATACAATATAGCATTCAATTTATTTTCGTTTCTGTTTTTCATTTCTTCAGACTATGCACACTAATTATTGTTAATATTATAAATCAAACCGCGTACAATGATTTTTTACAACATTTGATTAAGCGCTATATTAATGAGTAGAGTTTTTTTTTTCCACAGCTTAACATTGTATTGATTATTATAACCTATGTAGATGCATCCGCACAGTCCGCATTATCCAACAACAACACTTTAGTTACCTATGCGGCGATCGTTTCAAATGCTCAATGGCCAGTAAAATGATTGTAACGTCGGACAAAGGTCAAATTAATTAATGGGTTGTGCAGTATATTATTATGATAACATGAATAGTTGTTGATAGTAGGTACATTTAGCAGCGGTACACTATGTGGCCGGATTGATATTTTTAGAGAAATGCAACTGGCCGTATAACTAAATATTTACGCAGTGACCCGTGTGTGTAGTACTTAATTAATATTTTTCATACATTACAATCGTTAATCAATGATCCTTGGACGCGGGCTTACATGTAAATAGGCATATCGCAATGTGTGCAACTGATGGCCTACGTCAATGGAGCTACAAGAGCATTACGAGGGCCAATAGTTATTATAATTGGATTAAAGTATAACAACTAAAATGCGTTTTTTTATCGTTTATATTTACAATGTTTTTTACATTGTACAAAAAATAAATTGTAAAGATAATAATATTGAGTGAGCTCAAACAGTCCGGAGTCGACAAGTCGGGTCAACAACAAACGGTGATAAAGGAATTATCATATTCAATTTATATATGTACATGAAAATATGTATCAATATTTATGCAAAGTAGGTAGGTACAATGTAACACATTTTACCTAAAGCATTATTCTGTTTACAAAAAAAAAAAAAAATATTAATGGATCATATTTTAATTAAATGGCAAACTATTCGAATGATCGGACATTGTTCAACCGATTATACAATGTTATATTATAGTATTACTTTACACACTGCGGCGGATCCAATTACAATATGTATATGGCAGTAATGCAAATACATTGTTATCGGATACATGTGAAAAAAGGCCAATGATTTTACACGTTGGTTTTATCTACTGGCATAAAAAAAAATGGCGAGAGGAAGCCATTTATGTTATGATAATCGTTTAGGTAGGTACATTAAATTTAAAAAAACACGGTACTTAAACATAATTAATGTTAGCACTAAAATGTTTAACTCGCAAGTATTATCAATTGTATCGGATAGGGATATATTATATTTATTAAACAAATTTATTGTACTCAGACACTGCAATTTATTTTTAATCCCATTCGATTAAATGTTATATTCGTTTATAGCTGTTTATATATTATACTCCTTTTTTTAAATTGTTAAATGTAGAGGTATACCTCTGACGTCACCTATAGGTATATATGTTTATTGTAATTAAGTGATACGAGAATATTTTAAGTATAAAAAATTAGCCATAGTCGGTAATACCGAATCGGTAACCAGTTCCTAATAAAATATGTTTTTTTTTTTGAGTTAATCATTATTCGTTATGATTCAGACAGATGGTGTTGGAGATAATGCGTTTGGATAAAAAAACAAACACTACATTTCACTAAAGCTACCTCGGTTTCTAAATACGTTTTTAAAAAAACTACTTTTTAAATTTAAAAAAAATAGTAATCTGTCAACGAGCCGAATACAGAAAGCATATATTATAAATGTTCATAGTTTGTAAAGATTATTTTATGAATTTTATTGCAGTTTACATATTTTTCACGCGCTTATTGAAATGTTATTTTGAATGTGTTTTCTAAATCACAAAAAAATCCACTTATCAAGTCATTTAGTCGTCAACAGTTTAATTTATGCAATTCCATTTATTTTTTATAAGTACCAATAAAATTAGTTTTTATGCTAATTAAAAATAGGTTTTCAAAATTAAATTACCCATCAAGATTCAAGCGGGTAGGCAAAAGGTACTAAACTAGCTATTTGCCACCGTATTTGGTTTTTTGTTTTTTAATTATAATCAACTCAATATAAGTCCTGCTCCCAAATAAATATGTGTCCTTGAACATATAAAATAAGTCGACATTTTTCGAACGGCTTAGGTTCTGTGATACCGCCGAAGGAATGTTATAAAATAACATATTAATAATAAATTAAAAAAAAAAAAGCGATTGAATTTGACCCGTCGGGTGGTCGAAAATACTAGATTTACATTTGTATAAATATGAATACAATAATATTTTAGTATATTACATTGTTAAGAGGTACCTGTTTCTAATATGCACACATATTGGATGGGTCGGTTTATACCAGAATGAAGAAGTTGAAATGTTTTAATATACAAATTTGTTTCTTCTGCCGCCGCCATATACGGCATAGCGATAATGTATTGGTGTTAATCGACTATCGTGGCCACAGCTCTAGAGACCCCCGGGGGGCCATGTTGA